GGCCGGCAGCTCCGGAGGCCGCGCGGCGCCTCGCCCGCTGCTCGCCCGCTCCCCGCGTAAGGGACGGAGGCGGAGGGCTGAGAAACGGGCGGCAGGGTAGGGAACGCGGGAGGAACGGGGACAGAGCGGTAGCCGAGAAACACAGTAAGCCCCCAGGGGCAGCGGGCCCGGGAGATGCACCCGCCCCCCGGAAGGCTGAATTCTCCGAGAAAAGCCCTGGACGAAAGTTGCATCCTTCTGTATCCCCGCTCAGTCCCTGGCAGACTGCAAGCAGGAACTGCAAACAATTAGGACTCAAGTTTTTAACTCCAGCTAAAGCAAAAAGACCAGAAAAAGCAAAACAAAACCAAACCCCCTAAAAACCCCCAACACCACCCCTCTCCATTTCCGGATCCTGACCGGACTTAGGCATAGGCTGCCCTAGGCAGAAGCAGGTCTCAGCCATCCTACAGGTATAAGCTAGAGCAGCAGAGGACATGGAAACGTCAAGACAGTGGAGTACGGTGTGGGACATCAGTGGCTGCCGGGGTAGGCACGGGGCCAGGGAGGGCTTTGACGTTAAGGGCATTTGGAGTTGCAGGCAGCACTTCACAGGAAGCCCTGGAAGAAGTAGAGGAAGGGTGCAATACAATCTCAGGAACCCACAACATAGGGGAGATGTTCTGTCATGAGAGCTAGCTTACATGCTTAGTGTGATGATCCGATGAAGCATAGGGGAGAAAGTACATCATTAAACGTTAATTTTGCTAAGCATATTTTTCATTTCCAATTGGGCAAAGAGGGGGACAATAGCTACACCTCTGCGGAAGACCAATCCATCACGCAGATGTTAAGTTTATTGCTGGCAGTCCCAAATCCATAGGAGTCCCCTCTCCATTTTTTTTTTAAATGGGCTCTATATTCCTTTCTCTAGTCAGAGCTCATGCTTAGAGCCCTCCTTTTTCTAGTCCACTGTTTCATTCTATTGGTCCATGGCCCCAGAGCTGTGACAAGTGAAAAATAGATTCTTTGGATAGCTTGCACAGCCTCCACCCTCAGCGCCCAAGATAAGCTGTGCTGTAAATCACGGGAAGAGCTACTATGTAGAGAAAAAGGAAATAAAGTATTGTCTTGGTTTTGTAACAACCAAGCTGGCTGCTCAGAATCCCCCAGACCTGCCTGACAGCATCTTCCTGATGTGTCCTAAGGGAGAGCAAGAATAGGGATGTCTTCTTAACTGTCCTTTCCAGGGTCCATAATCACTCCCTTCACAACTACAGATCAGAGATAGAATAGATAACCCCTGTGCCATGGTTCCCTCTGATAAAACCACTTTGACTAGAACTGCCCAAGAACACTTCCACTAACCAAAGCCTGCTGCGGCAGGCAAGGTGCGAGCTGTAACAAACCCACCCCACCTCCTTGCAGAGTGCCTTTCCAGCAGCAGCAGCAAGGCTCTGTTGATACTGGTGAATGCTCTGCACTCCTCTAGCTTCAAGCAGTGCCAGGCACCACAGCTCACTGAGCCCATGTCTCACAGGGCAGAAAGAGCTGCAAGCTCTTCCTGGCTTCGTTCCACCAAGTGCCAGTCCTGCTCAGTTAACCTTCTGCAGTCCCTCAGACAAGGCGTGGAGCCAGGCATGCCTGTGGATGCTCTCTCTGCATCCTCTGGCAGACACAAACACAAGCAGCAGCATATTCACATACCTGCAAACACCCTGTAACCGTTGGAGGGTTTAAAATGATACACACATGTATTAAAACGCTGTAATTCCAACATGCCAATCACAGATTAAACAAAAACCAAATCCCAGTAACACACTGGATTCCTTTGCTATGCTATGAACTAGAAGTGATCATGGAAATACTGCCCTGCCAGAGGTTATCTTGTTACATGTTGTAGCACATGTTCTGGGAAATATTTAGGCTTTGGATGGTCAGAAAACAGGAGGGGAGTTGCTGTTGACAGCTATCCTCACTGCGATGCTCTTGCTAAATACATTCAGGCAAAACTGCCAGCCTTAAATATAAAAAAGACCATATTCACTTCATATGACACCCAGCTCCCATGTGCTGCTGCAGTGGAGTGGTGTCTCAGTCCTTTGATTTCGTTAATGATACGGCAGCCTCAAACCCTTCAGAACTGGAGGTATTAAGTCCTTAGCATGTGTAACACTAACAGCAGCAGCTAGAAGGCCAACAGGAGTTGCCCATTTAATCTCACTGTGCTGCCTGTATCCTGCCTGCCTGAGTTCCAGGACTTTGGGATGGGAAACGCAGTTTACTTCTGAGCAGTATCTAGGACACTAGAAACTTGACTCTCATTCAAATATGGCATATAATCCAACAAAGGCTAATTATTCCTGACTTTTAAACAGAATCACATAGAAAGCCAAGCTGGACTGCCAGGAACCCTCTCCCAGTGGAAAGGAATGACAGGGAGAAGTACAAAGAGGCAGATGGTATATATGAAGCTTTGTGTAGCTTTCCTATTACACATGCAGGTTTTGCTCTTGCACCTGTTTCTACCACTCAAACACCAAACTATTTAAAGACAGCAAGAGGAGAAGGGAGAGGGAGTGCGAAGGGCAGAGGAGATGCAATTCATTCTTTGCGTTCTCTTCCCCAATATTTGCAGGTCCTTGATTCCTCTTTACAGGGCTAGTTTTCAACTGTTTTTTCCTCTTTCAAGGCACTGCAAGTTTGCCTTGAAGAATCCAAAGTGGTTGGAGAGCTGGGAATATTAGCATTTAAAGGGTTTTAATAAATTAAACAGTCTCAGGGAGTTTTCTGGAGAAACTGAACTCCATTACATTAAGGAACAGAACTTGGGCATCACTTGTGCTGAAATAAAACTACCTTCAGCAAAGACATCTCATCAGATGACCAAAGTTACTGTTGGTTGAATAGTTACAAAAATCCTTCCCCTTCCTTTAAAACTTGTCAATCCACTCTGGATCATTTCTACCTCTCAGCAACTGAAAAAAAAAAACCCCAAAACCCTAAGGAGGAGTGGGAAGGCAAAAATGCAACCTTCTACGACAGCAACTACAACTCAGGTTTATTCAATGTGTGGGGCAAGAGCTAAAAGGAATAATATTACCTTGTATCCCCTTCCATACACTCTGGAAACACTGCAACAGCTCATTTTCTCCCTGTTAATCAGTTCTGCAGTCTCCCCTGTTTGCTGTGCACAGTGCCTTTACAGAGCATGTAAAGAGATCTGCTCCCAACTGTTAACCTGCAACAGCATGGACCAAGGACAGCACAAACCAATAACAGCTGCCTATGTCTCCAGATGCAATTATATCCTTTCATGGAGAAAAAGATAAATGAGTACATCAGATGCTGAATGCTCACCAGGAAAATTCCACTAATTTATTAGATGTCTTGTCCTTCGTAGGATAGTTTGAGCCAAACAAGTCTGCTTATTTAAGTACAAAAACCCTTCAGAGTCACAGGAGATTACAAAAATACCAGAACCCTGAGCTACCCTCCCTCACCACAAAGAGAATAATCTCTCCCACCCACTTCTCTGTTCAGTTTGATCACTGCATCCACAAAATTTTTAGGGTCTCTGGCCCATCTTCTTCAGGGTTCGATTCAGCTGGAATTAAAAAAAGCAAAGGTCAGAAAAAAAATATAGTGATTGACATACACTGTTCCCCTCAGCAGCCTTCATCCAATGCCTCTACTTCTTCCTCCAAGTCACTGACAGAAACAGCTCTTGTACAAGTGAAGGCAGTGTGTGAAAACAGAAACTAGTAAAGCTCCCTCCTCCTCTCCAAGGCAGCAAAGGAAGATGTGGAGAAGAGATGGTACAAACTTATAGCAGTGGTATCAACCATGTACTGCTCAAGTCCCCACATCTCAGGATTTTGCTGCCTAGATTTCTAGCGTGCAGCAACCTCCGTTGGGAGAGTGGAGCAGTGACAGGATGTCATCTCCTGGCTGATCACAATGCTGAAGTCATCTGTGCTCTAGAAATCGTTGAGGCCACTTTCTAGAGTTGTAGTTACAAGGGTAGAGACGTTATTCTGGTTGCATTACTGACATGAACGCTACAATTGTCTAGGGACAATGGAGTCAGTACCCTTGAACAGTACAACCCTCCTCCTTTTCCACTGTGGCTCAAATGAACACTTCTCACACAAAACATACCATTCTTCAAAGGCCAGCAGCTGCTGCTTAAACCACCTGGCTTTGCTCAGTGCCTTGCAGAGCTGGGACTCACCCCAGCAAGGCACCATGCAGCTGTTTCACACAAGCATGGCTCCTCTGGGGCCTGCACAGCCCAATGCTTGCCCCCTTTTCTTACAGAGTTACACAGCAATCCTGCCCAGGCCTCACCTCCTCAAACTTGTGGATCTGGCGGATGAAGAAGTCCCCATAGCGTCGAGCAACCTTTGTGTCCGCAATATGGATCATGTCCTGGGGAAGGAACAGCATGAGGTCAGGAAAAGGACTGCGCTAGCAGGGAGACAGCAAGCACCACCAAACATGAGAAGCTATCAAAGAGGCTTCACTCCAGCATCACACACCTGACGTGTGCCAGTCCCACAGCAGTCACTCAGTTATGTGGGCTGCCTTCATTATACCCTTGCCTGAGATGGGTCCCAAATTCACATTGTATTCACTTCATTTTTGCAGTCTACCTATTTTTGTCTCTCAAGGCAGCAGTTTGACAGTCCCAACCCCAAACCATCCTCTGCTTCCCTCTACCAGCAGCTAAGTTGTGCTGTCTACCAGAAGAGCTAGGCTGAGATACAGCACAAGATGCTGCAGGAAGAGGTCAGCTCTAAGGACTGAGAATAAAGGGCAACCTGTTCTTCCTAGCAAGAAACCTAATGGTTGCTGTTATCTTCTTTGAAAATCAAGTCCTGAAAGACTCTTTGCTATGTTTCCTGCTGCCTGGAGCTACACCAGCAGGATGGTGACAGGACCATACCTTGTAGATTCCTCCTAGAGCAGACAGCCAAATGCTGTTCCAGTGAAAAATGGACATGTCACATGATCAAGCAAGATCCCTGCTTTGCCAGGCAAAGGAGATGTGGAGGAGACATACAAAACTAACAATCCCACCTGATACACAGACAGCACTGTCACCCAGCTGTCACCTCCCAAGAACACTGACAGACAGTTCCTTCTGTCCTGGCGAAGACATCTAGGATCTTTGCTTTCTGGGTACAACAACCACCAAAGTTGTCTGTGACATTCCATCACTGTTCATCTACTGATACTCCTACTAAGCAGGGCTACAACCTCACTGTGGGCAGCCAAGCCCTTCACATGGCAAAGAAGGAGGGATGTTTTCCAGACTGGAGCAAAACTAGGTGCTGCCACTTCCAGAATTTCCTGGGTGAAGGAATTTACTAGCAGCAAGGGACAAATACCAACCTTGTCAATATAGAAGTCAACCTCAGAGGCTGACTGGAACTCCCCATCCAGGGCAGATATGCCACTAGTCCATACCAGGTTCTTCATCTTGTGCTTGAAGACGAGCAGCTGGATACGAAACTCCTGTTCTGTGAGGTCTAAGAAGCCAGCCAACTTCGCCACGGGCATGGTAGTGTAGAGCTTGAGGAAACTACGGATGGTGGAGAGCTGGGCCTGCTGCTGAACCTCATCAGCAAAGACCTTGAGCTGCTGCAGGAAGGGCTCCTTGTGGTAGTTGGGGTGCACATTATCATAATTGGGCACCACAGGGGAGAGGAACTTGGGGCAAGCATAACTGAAGAGCTCCTCGTAGACTTGTGCATCACCCTTCTGCATACGCAGCATTTTATCCCCGTATTTCTCTCGCAGCTGCAGGTGGATGCTCTCATCTATGCGCATGGGGTACATGGTGAGGGCGATGGCCAGGAGCGCATGCATTTGCTCATTCTGCTTGTTAATCTGAGACAGAGAGGAGAACCTGTTAGCTTGCCAACGTGCTCAGGCTTTTGGTGCCAGAAAGACCTGGGAGCTGTGTTTTTCAGACAGACCTTTTACCCGAGCACTGGGTCCTAATGCTTAAGAGGGACAGCAGAAAGAAGCAGTGCCTCTGGGCAAAGCAGACAGACTAATGTTGTATCAAGGCTCTCACCAATGAAAAAAAAGAGGGCAGTACTGAGTGACAGCCAGAAGCAGGTTTAATTGCTTTGGTGCAAAAAAGTGCAGAGGAGAAGAGACAGATAGTTTCACAACCCTCTCCTGGCAAAGGAGGTCAGTGAAGAAAAGACTGAGAAGGAAGATTTATCTGATTGAGGGATGAAATGGAGAGCTGCGTGGCTAAAACAGACATACCAAACTTTTGAAGTGTCATGGAATTAAAAACAGCAGGATTTGGCTACACAAAAACGAGTTAGAAATTAATCATAAGGATGAAATTGAGACAGCAACAGCAGAGAGTAAAACAGGCACCAGGGACAACTTAGGTGGAAAAAGAAAGGATCTTTGTTTCAGCCACACTAAACTAAACCACTCTGTGAATGATTGGAAATAGATCTGACAATGGTAGTAACCTGAAATGCAGGACTGGACCAGAAATAGGACTGAGTTTGAAGAAACATCGACAAGAATATAATTAGCAGCTGATATTCATTAACAACACTACCTAGAGGGAGAGTGTAGATGGTGCCAGGGCAACCATATAGTGAGCAACCAAAGGAACTAGTAACACAGCTAAAAGAAAGTATTTCCACACACAGCAAAGGAGTTCAAAGGATCCCCAGTCACCACCACCAGCAGAGTCCAGGAAAACAGGGCTGGACTATTAGATGTTAGCAGGTAAAAGAGGAGGGGCAGGAAAGAAGACAGCAGCCTTTTCTCTTGGTAAGTGTCGACCTATTCTATCTCTTACCATCTCATACTTGTAGGTCGTCCTCTGAAACATGCTCTTGGTCCTTTGGATGTAGAGGAGGATGTTGGCAAAGACACGGATGGCATCCTGGTAACGTCGCATCATAAGGTATGCGAAGCCCACGTAGTAGTAGGTGGTCACCTGGCACTCAGGCACCCGTGAGTACATGCTCTAAGAAGGAAAGATCAAGATACTATGATGGAGGGGAGGCTATCACCTTTGATCTGAACAGTTTTTTACCCAGAATCTAACCACCCCTGTTTTCACGCCCATTCCAAATATAGAAAGGAGAGGGTTAATTTACCTCATCTCCCACCCAACCTTGCAGCAGCTTCCTCACTATTTATTAGATCATCCTCTGTTCTCCAGTTTCAGCTTCCTGCAAACAGAGGACTCTTGCACTTTGCTTTGCTCAGTTCCCTTTCCCCACATTTCACTCCACGTCCTGTGCCAGACAGGACATACATAGATCTGGGCCAAGCCTTGGGTCAAGTCTCTGTTGCAGCTGGACTTCTGTCAGCCACCGTTACCACAAGCAGCATGCAATTCTAGGGCAAAAACATGCAAGGTGGGAGTGGGCACAGTGACTCAAAAAAATACAAGAATGAGCCACTGACAAAGGTGGGAACAATATGTTCAGCTAGCTACCACTGCACTACTGCTTACAGTTCAAATAATAATCCTTATAAAAACACTGCAAGCCTCCTCAAAAACTAGGCATTTATCAGGCATCATCATATGGCTTGACTTAATGCCAAAGCTCCAGCCATGTTTAACTAAAAACTCCTAGCAGTTACAAGCAGCTGCTCAGCTAGAAGATTCATTATGGCAATCTTTCACCAGCATATTTGAACAGAGACATTTGGAAAACTGCAACAAAGTGTTTAAAACATGCTGTATTACCTTCTTGTTGAGCTCAATGTTCTCCAGAACCTTGATTGCTTGGTAGTAATCCCCCAGCAGAGAGTGCAGACGCAGTAGCCCAACCAGGCTGAAATAGCCCAGCATCTTGTAAAGAGAGTGGCGACCATATTCACCAGCCACGCTTTCAGGATCACCTAGGAAAAAAAGGAACCATGACACTTGCCTCCAAGGAAGCAAGCTCCCCTTTCAACAAGGGGTGAGAACTCTTCAACACCTCTATGTTTACAAGCAAGACCTCAAGTGTAATTGCCAGCACTATTCACGCAAGGCCAACAGAATCTGTTCCCAGTCAGTCTATCCACTGATTAAGGAATTAATCCAGCTCCCAAACAAAGCTAACCAAGCTCGGTCAAATCGAAGTAAGGCAGCACAGAAATCAGTCTTGCTTGGCATCACCCAACTAGCTCACCTCCACTTGTATAGACCTCCAGCTGTCGGTTGATGTTGGATTTGTCCACCAGAGAGTGCAGCACATTAAGGACACTGTGGACATTCCAGATCTTGGGGTTGGAACGAAGGAAATCAATTTCCTCTTCAGACTTCTTGGCTGTCTTGCAGCGGTACTGGCTGAAAGACTGGAACTACAGGAAAAAGCAGAGATTCAATGACAAGAAGCTAGTTTGGACATGTTCAGCTACGTGCACTTAGCTTACAAGTTGATCACGCAAATGCATTACAATAAGCTGCAAGTTGCATGAAAAAGAGTTTCATCTGAGATCACCTGGCAATCAAAATGGCAAATTATACCAGCTTTAAAGCACCTAGGGAAAAAAATGATACAGAGCAGAGAGAAAAGGCCAGAAGACAGAATGAAGCACAGAAGGATCTCTTAGACAACTAGGACCAGCAACTACACATGAATTTGCTGTCTGAACAGGTAGCAAAGAAAATGACCAAGTCATAAGATGTGTCTGCATACACACACATCTGTTTCTACAGATGCACGCATCCTTTTTCATGCTCAGGCCTGAGAAGACTGCACTTGTGGAATTCCAGGCAGATCTATAAATAAGTTACAGAAAAAGGAATCTATAGAGAAAAAACAGTAGCATTTGAGATCTGTATTATTGCACTCCAAAACAGTAAGGGGAAAAAATATTTCATAACATCAAGATCCTAGGGACATAGATTTCAAATCAGGTCAGCAATCTTTCAGTGGAAGCATGAAGGCTCTACTGACTAAGAAATACAAAGCTAAAGCAAAACCATAGAACACAATAAAATTAGTTTGAACAAGTATCTTAATAAGGTCTTTGTGATTATAACTGATTTCAGTCAGGCTGCTTTGCACAAATCAGACAGAAATGAAGGCAAGTTTAATAAAAAAAAATTAGTCCCCTAAGCAGCAACTGAAACAGAAATATCAATAGAAGTCCAGGACTTCCCAAAGAGCTCCCTGTAACTTAAAAATATATACATTTACAAATACTTCATCTACTCAGGAATACCAGTGCTCACCAAAGTTTTTTGACCTGGAATCGTATCCTAGTATGAAAATCACAGAGAGGGAGGAGATGGAAAACCTACAGCACTAATAGAGGCAAGGCCACCCCAAAATGGCCCAGTCTTATAGTCATATACCTGGTATATGAATTCATCAATGATATCCCAGAGCCACTGGTTGGGCAGTTCCAAGGGAGCAGGGCCATCGGCATCTGCAGAACGTAAGTAATAGATGAGAAGCTTAATACCTTGAGCAAGAACAGTGGCAGAACTGGAGGAACAGAATTAAAGACTACAAGAATTTCCCTGAAATGGGAGATGCAGCAGCCAATGAAGCTTCCAGTAGGGCAGTGATATGTAGTTTTAGCTCCCTCAACTGCCTTCACTTTTAAAGAATATGAGCATGTATGGGTTTAATCTCTAGAGTGTGACTGCTCAGCAGCAATGATTCTCAGAAGCTGTGCAGACTGTAGGGCTTATCCTAACTAATTTATTTTCCACAAGAAGTTTGGTAGGGAGTCACAAACACTAAAATTTGTTCCAAGGGGAGTCAACAACAGCAAGCAGTTGTGAAACACTAAGTTTTCTCTAGTTTACAGCTTTGCTGTGCTTTTTACTAAAGATAGGTGAAGAAGTTCTCAGCAAGACAAAGCTAAATAAGTTTTATTCTTTACAATATTTCAGAAAGCACTGGAAGTTATTTGTGCTTTTTGTGGGTTTAAATGCAAGAATATAAAGTGCTCTTCATTGAACAAACTCAAACATATGGAAAGTTCATAGACTACTTCTCCCTGTATGATCTAAAACCAAACTGACCCTTTGTCCAGCCCTGCCCTCTCCAAAATTCACAAACCAGAAGTGAACTGCAGCAACTCACTGAGGATGTAGTTGAAGAGATTGCAGTAGTTGTAATAGGATTCAAATCTCTGCTCCAGTGTGGGCCCCCCCTGTAGCGAGAAGTCAGCACAGTCTGTTTAGTTTCAAGCATGGCAGGAGTGAGTTCATGGGCAACCGCACATGAAAGACAGCCAATAGTCACAGCAGTAAAAGATCTATTTCAGAAATGTTAAAGCCAATATTCAACCAGGACACCCAGCAGCAACACCCAGAAAACCTGAAATTGTGTCACCATTGTGCCATAGAACAGGGCTGACTTTTGACATACAGGAAGCTTCTCCCAGGATAAGTGAGCATTCAAACCTTCGTGAATAGGATGCTTTAACTTTCCTTGTCCTCCTCTCTGCTGTCCAGACTTAAGAGCTTCCTATTAACCTTCAACAGCTTTCCTTTGTTCTCTCCTCATAAGAGGCCTCAATACATCAACAATTCTGCTTCTGGACGGTATTTCTAAGTGCTTTGAAAGACCAGTAAACACAACAGAGAATCATTCTTCCTAGAATCATCTTCCTTGTTTCACCTGGAGACATTTGAGGGCAGTCTGAGAACCACTAACAGCACAGCTTGAGAAACCAGTCTCTCCTTTCAAAGCCTGACTCAAATTAATACACTTTTTAAAGTGTCCATTTCTCCACCCTCTGGTCCAGACCAAAACTGCAGTTATTACTTATTCACTCTGTACATCACATCTCTATTCAGCTTCTTTCCTTAAAGAACAAAGAAGCACTGTGATTTCTTACTCACTTCAAATTAGCCTAAGAAAAAAATGTGGGGCTTTTTTGTTTTAAGAGTGCTACTCCTTTTATTTCCTTCTCCTGTATCCTTTATGGTGCCCGTTTCCCTCTCTACAAGACACTCACCCCATATGTTTTTTTAATCACAAATAATGCACCCTCTTCTTGTGACACCCCCTCTCACCTACCTGCTAACCTGAAGAACAAACAGCCACAAAGGAACGCAGAAAGCTAATTGATCTATAGGTCTTGCAATCACAGCTCTATCAAAAAGTCAACTATCTCCCAATACCTCCTTCTTTCCTAACTCACTAACCACTACATCTGATATCAGTAACAGACTTACATAATAGCCTCCTGAAAACTCAGACCAGGTCTTCTGATTAAAATAAGCTGCCAGGAAAACCTGCACACTCATTACAACTAAGTTGGAGCCTCAGAAAGACTGTCAAGGCTTTCTGCATTTTCAGCAGTGAATCCTTACTAGCAAAAGGCAAGAAATTTGAGTTTCCCTAAAAGCAGCTTGACTTATAGTTCATAAGACCATCCAATCCTGTCTTACAAAAACTGTGGAACCACTGATACTGTGGTGACAGCAAGATTTCACAAGTTTTATAGCATAGAGAAGCCAGCATGCAACCAACAGGAAGACAGAGGACAAACACTCACGCTGACTTTGGCGTAGATGTGTCTATAATACAGCTCCTTGTACAGGATGAGGAAAACAGCATCTAGAAAAGATGACAGAACTGGACATTAGCAAGCCACAAGACCTAGGCAACTGGATCTCTCAGATATGCCAGTTGTGTTCCTCCTGCCACAGTAATATAGGGAGGTACAGACACTTCTTTCAGTTTTGACTTCTTGCCAGGCATCTACTGAAGGAGGTGCCAGAGTGAACAACAATGATTGACTAAGGTAGCAGCAATACCGTGCACCTGCTCATTTACGTATCAAAAGTAATTTAGTTTCTTCTTTCTCTGACAAACAAAGATAAAGGAAAAAACTTACCATTTCCAACCTGAGGGGCAATGGCCTCAGCCTCAGGCCATGGGGTATTCTTAAAAAACCTTTCTGTCAGCTTTGTCCAGCTGAAAAATAGACATACATGTGGTATTAGAAGCTTTCTCAGTATGAGTGCTGGAGTTAGAGATGACAATATAGAGGCCTTGGAATTGATGAGAATAGAACACCACCACCATCCTCTAAGTCCAGTGTTGAAGCAAAGAATAAGAACAGCAAACTAAACAATTAAAGTCTTCAATTTATCCCAGAAATATGGAACAGCTGAGTATGTTACTTTCACCTTCCCTTTATGGTAAGGTAACGTAGCTATAAACAGGAGTAGGAGTACCTGTAGAGAACAGACCCAACAATTACACCTCACAGCTTTCTGCAAACTGCATAACTAGCATGATTGAGGTCACTTTTTGCTACCTCCATGCCTGTTAAGACATAGGACTATTGCTTTAGATAGGTCACAGTTGACCTAGACTTATGTTAGACTAATGGCCTGCAAATACCTGGTTTTTTTGCCCAGTAATCAAATCAAGCATCATGTTATATTTTAGAGGAAGCCCAGGTTTGGAACAAGGCAGCTAGTCAGCTTTTTCTTTTAAGAGCAGGGTGCATTTTCACAACAGTTTACACAGTGATTCCTGTTGAGGGAATGATGGTTTCATACCTGTTTTCATAGATATCCTGGATCTCGTACACCTTCTGGTCAATGACATCACTAGAAACACGGCTGGCCTGGAGCTCATACACCTTCTGGTCAATGAGATCAGACACCGTCTTGTGAAAATACTGAATGAAGTTTTTGATCACTTCGGGGATCACCTGGTAGGTCTGCTGCTCGTACTGGCGCTCATAGGCCAAGTCTTGCTTCGGGTCTCCTGAGGATAAAGCAGAGTGGTGAGGCGGCTGCCTCACGGGCCAGCCCAGGCCCACAGAGCCAGCCGGGCGCCAACAAGCCCGGCGCACTTAAGCGGCCGCCGCGGCGGCGCGGCCGAGGCTCACGCTCACCCGTGTGCATATCATAGTCGTTGGAGTAGGCGTAGGGAGATGTGTA